AGGGAAGGGAAGGGAAGGGAAGGGAAGGGAAGGGAAGGGAAGGGAAGGGAAGGGAAGGGAAGGGAAGGGAAGGCACCTGGATTCTGGCCTGGTGCCTCTTCAGGGGAACAACTTCAGGGGCAAATGCCAAGAATGGCATTTCTGTTAGGATTCTGGATTGTAACACAAATATTAACCACAAAAGAACATCCTAGGTTGGTTTTAGAAGACATCTTGGACTATTTATTTCGCACATTCATCCTTATATAGCCCCCTTCTGGGTGGCTCACAACCATAAAATGCAATAAAAAATACAAAACTCCATGCAAGTTGGGACACAGAAGTACCCTTGCTGCCAGGCCCAGGTCAACAAGGTAAAATCCCAGATAAAACCAGCAGCACGTTAAAATTCAAACCCACCCAAAGGAGATGGTTTTGACTGCCTTGTGGAAGGCCGGTAGCGAAGGACCTGGCCCATCTCCAGGGAGGAGATGGCCTGAGAGGCTGGGGCCACCAGAGAGAAGGTCTGCCTTCAACTCCATGTCCCCCCATTTCCTTCTGGGGCTGAGGGCCTAAGGATGTCCTCCCTTGCTGCTCGCACCAAAATCCACTTGGAGGAGCAGGTCCCTCCAGGAACCCGTGGCAGGCACCCTTGGAGCAGGCTCTGAAAGCTGCGGGCAAGCAGTGCGCAGCCCCAGAATAGGGCTTAGGCTACAGGTGGGGCAGCCTCCCTGCTGCATTCAGTGCCAAGTTGTTTGCAAAGCAGCCCCCCACCCCCAGCCACGTAGAGCATGTCCCAGGAGGTGTGGAGGGCAGGAGACACCACTGTCCAGGAAGGGCCATAACTGGTGAGCCAGTCTAAGCTGGGCAGTGGCTCCTGGATTAGAAAAATGGAGACCGTTGAGTCTTCTAGTCTGAGCCCAACGCAGATCTTCATCGGGGGTATTCTCCTAAGAGGGCTGTGTTCAGAGTGGCTGGAATTCCATGTGCCTTTCTCCCCAAATTTCCAGTCGCTTAAAGCCAGCTGAGGCCAGTAAGGTTCCTGATGACCCTCCACCCCCTGCCTCAGTGGGGACAAAGACCTCTGAGTTGTTGAACTTGAATTGGAGTGTCTGAGTCTATCAAATCTTAGGATCAACTTTCCAGCTAATCATTTCTTCAGGGGAGGCCATCAAGTTCCCTCTCCCACACATCCCAGATTTGCTTGGAATAAATATGCAAAGCGTGGTTTGGCTCGTAGAGGCAGGACCAAGCCAGGGGCTGAACCGAACAGAGGGCCGTGGATGGGGTTGTGGGGAGAAAAGCGGTGCTGTCCCCCCACCCCCACTGCCTTTGCTCCACACAAATAGAGGAGAATAGGAATAGTGTCCTGAAGGAAACCAGGCTCTGCTCCCCCTGGAAGTCATATCGCCTTGGAAATAAATTGCCTTGGTCAGAGGTGAGGGTGGCCATGCTCACCAAGGAGGGTAATGGGGGGGGGGTGTCACCATTAAAAAATGGCTGTTGTGCAAAGTACGACCGGTCACAACGTTAGGCTTTCAAAGATTTATCCTCTGGGCCTCCAGCCTCCGTGCTCCAGAAGGGCAACAGGTTGCCTACCGCTAGCTGGGCATTATGTGCGACCTTAAGACTTAGGTAACGACCGTGGTTAAAACTGGGGCTTAGAATAATGTGTGAATCCACGCGTAGGCTCATACTGACCTGCTGGTGCCCTTCGGAGCTAGATTCACACACTGAGCTAAAACTTCGTGTTTCGTTTGGACTAAATCCAGCCATGGGTTTGGGATTAAATCCAAGTGTGTGAGTCTCACTGCAGTCGTTCGTGACGGAGGAGGCTCCAGAAGCAAAGCATATTTTGATACAGTTTTCTTCCCCTTCTTCCTTCTGAAGGATGTCCAAATGAAAGGCAGTCCACTTCTTGTTGTGAAGAAATGAGAGGAGAAATTGAGGGTGCCAAAACGGGGGACACACCAACTTTTTAACTGTCTGATGAGAAGCCAGCTACGGCTAACTGCCTGCCTTTTGGGCACTGGCATTTCTTCCTCCTGTTCCGCTGCCCAAGGAAGAA